TTATTGCTTATTTTATTATTTTGTTGCTACTTCTTCCAGCGGTTGTGCAAAACTTTTTCTTTTCTTTTTTCACTTTTTAATAAATGTGGGGCTCACCATGAATTTGAGTCACAACATGAGAATTCAATTATCATACAACATAAGAAAAACTACTTTTGGAGACAATATATATATATATATATATATGGAAACTACGGCTTTGTACCTTTTGCCCCTCATTAATTAATTAATAACCAATTTGCCCCCTAATTTAAGAAACTACTCCACTAACTCTGCCCCTTTTAGTTCGACTACCTTGCTGTTTTAGTTCTTGAGCAAAATGGTTAATTTCAGAAAAGTGGACTACCGTAAATTAGAGTCCGACTTAAAAAATCATCATCGATCTACATTTTTGGGAGTATCGACACATTTAGTCGACTAAATATCGACGGATTTGTTTTTTAAAACTCCCCCTCCGGCAGAGGGGAGTAGGATGACCTAATCGACTAAGGAGGCGGCCCAAACCCCAAATCCTGCAGCAGCTCCTGAAGAACGCCCAAAACCCTTCCTTTAGGCGTGTGGATTGCCCCAAATTTGGTCCAAATCGTGAAATCTGAAGGATAGGTAAGGTTTCTTAATTTGCATTGTGTTTTAGGTTTAGGAATTTTTTGTATTTGTTTGTTGTCCGAATTTGTGAACTCTAATCAAAGCGTTTGTTGTAGGTTTTGTAACCCTAATCTACTAAGGTTTATTTTTTTGCATTGTGTGAATTTTTTTGTTTGAAAAGTTTGTATGGGGCAAAAGTTTGCTTTTGGTTTACAGCGCTTATGTTGCAAGTTTTCATTACCATCATGACATGTTTCATATAGTTAAATGCTGACATGTTTCATTGTAGGTACCCTAAACAAATGACGAGTCGCAGAAGACCAAGCGATGAGGGCAATGAGTCACTTGAGAGACGCACCAAGCATAGGCAAGAGCGGCCTTCTTCGTCAAGGCGACAAGACGAAGAGCCTGATACTGTTGACCTCCCGTATGGGTATCTGTTTGAGGACGACCCTGCCGTCCACGCTTCATTCGTACGTGACCATTTGAACCGGCCGTTATGTGCTCCAAAATCTTTGGATACAGCCTTTTTTGATAAGGAGGGATTTGAAATTGTGGGGGTGTTGGAGGCGGCACATCTGAGGTGTGTTGGCCAAGACCCTATGTCCGTATTCAGAGCTTATGGTGCGGGCCTTCTACCATAACCTCAGCTACGTACAGGGCGAGCTGAGGTCGAGGGTCTGTGGAATAGAGATCATCATGACGGCACCTGCATGGTTGGAGATACTCGGCTATGATTTTGACTCTTCTCAGACTGTGGTGTATGACGCTGATAGTGGTGTAGTACTTCCAGGATATGTACGAGAGGATGCCGTGCAGGAGCAGAGAAGAGTCCGTGGGGAACACTTGCACTATACGGTGGGGTTGCTTTCTGTGGAGTCCCGTATACTACACTATGTCCTCACCCACGTTCTGTTTCCGCGATCTTTTAATCATTCCAGGGTGTTGGAACATGACATTCCCATTATGTGGGCTATCCGACATGCCCAGATGGTGAACTGGAGGCACTATATCTGTTGGTTTATGTTTAAGGCCAAACACACACACACATCTTCCATACGCCACACTGGTACAGAGGATATTGGTTCACTTTGGTGTTCCGCGCGCGCGCGCGAGCTGTTGAAGAAGACCACGGGCTATAATTGCAAGTTCGGAAAGCGTCTATTGGAGCAGTGCAAGATATATAAGAACACGAGATCGGGTGTGTGGGAGTTTAGTGGTATGCCCCAGGTTGAGGTTCCTTATGTTGCCCCAGATGACGCATATTGTTGAGCCAGATGTGAAGGAGGAGGAGGAGGAGGAGGATGTGGCTGAGGTTGAGGAGATAGCTGAACCTGAAGGTGGATTTTCACTGCGTGATGTCATGAAGGGCATAAATGCAATGACAAAGAAGATAGGAAAGATGGCGCTGGCACATAAAAAATGGAGAAAGAAAGGGAATGAAAGGTTTAGACACATACAGGAAAGGTTTAAGGGTGTGGAAGACAGGCTTGCTCGTCTGGAGCTTGCAAGAGGTGGTCAGGTAGCTGAGGCAGCAGGGAATGGGGGTCATGTGTCAGACGAGGACGACTCGGAGACGGACACAGACGGGGATGACGAGTAGATTTAGGGTGTACATCATGTTATTGTGTTTTGTTCATGTATTTCCTTTAAGTCGTTGATGTAATGTAACTTTTTTTAATGAATGCAGAATTGTTATGTTTTTTGGATCTATGTTATGTTGTGTAATGAATTTAATTCCATTTCAATATTGTATAACTTATGAATGGAACCTTTTTAGCAATTTGATCATCACGGCACAAAACAATATTGAACAGGTCACATTCGTCCATAACACATCACAGCAAATCAGTACATGTGTTCAAAAAGGCTACATCTTGTATTGTTAACCGTAAACAAACGTTATGACAACATACGACTTGGTTTTAGGAATTTAATGTCCACATGGGTTTTTTGACTCGGAAATTACCCTAAGTCACACTCCCTTAGTGGATACAGTGTAGAGTGGAAACCTAGGGCAAAAAACATGTGTAATTCGGATTTGGGGTCTAAACCAACAATTTAGTCGATTAACCTGTACTGGTTTAGTCACGTTAGTCCAAAGATACATTTACTCGACTAAATTGTTGGTTTGGACCCCAAATCCGAATTACACATTGGGTTTCAACAACTCATTGATCCACTAAGGGAGTGTGACTTAGGCAGCATAAAATTTAATAAGTAATTGAGTTTGTGCAAATGAATCCATAAGATACAAACCTATAATGTATCATAGACATCAAATACAAACATAGCACCGTCATTACTAAATTTTTCAAATTGCACACACATGCAAGACATGATCAAATAAGGGAAACATATGCTGCAAAATTAAGAGTCTACAAGAGAATGCATATATCCTTATTTGAAAAGGCAAACCTTTGAGCAATCCACAAACGATGACATCAAATACAAACCTGCTCTCTTTACTCATTCTCAAAAGATTTGTCGTTACATGACATAAACATCAAATACAAGCTCCTCCATATCCTGAATGTTAATACCAGGAATAACAAAAACCAGAAACACAACATTCTAGTTCAGGGCTCAAGACACAAAATTATAAACTTGAGATTATTTGACAAGGATGATATTCAACTTTTTCCCTTGTCGGTTGAAGTCTGACTCCAAAGCCTGAAATCCTTAAATTTGTTTCTCAGAGACTTTTTTCAGTTGATGCTGGAATAACAACATCATTTTCCTTTTGGTCTAAGTCTACTTAAAATCAATTTGAAACGTGGTTTGAAAATTATCTTGTGAATTCAAAGATATAACTGGACTACTTCTATTTTCTTGCTGGTCTCCATGCTGATGCTGATCTGTATTGTTTACAGTTGGTGGCAGGTTAAATTATTTTCCGTGTCTGAGGGCATTTTGTCTGATGATCAGGTAACGACCAAAAAATCCTCCCAGTTTATTCCCAAGTGAAGATGTTGCCCCATCAAGCGGTGGTGGATCCGTCTTCGAAGTGTCTTGATGAAGTTTATCTGCAGTATAATTTTCAGTGAAGCAGATCTTATGTGGCCCAATTCTGGAATTCTTTGCCTGATTATTTTTCTTCAAAGACAATGAGGAACCATCATTTGGAAAACCATCTCGCATCCCAGTCCTTTTACCTTCAAAAGAGAATATACTTTTTTCTCGATGCTTCTCTGTGTCTTTTGAAGATGGGACACTTTTACCTTTTCCTGGTTGATTTTTGGAAGACACTTTCTTTCTGCTCCAAGAACGAGTTACTGGCCTCTTAAGTGTATGATCAGGATGTTCTGAATCAGATTCTATAGAATCAGAATTTTGTCTGGTCTTAACAAATTTATTTTCCTCATGGTTCAAATTCTGTTCAAGCGGCAAACTTTCATCATCCATGTTACGAGCGTGAGAACCTGAATGCTGAGTCTTAGGGGAAGAAGTGGTCCCCAATATTTGGCGAAGCTTCATCCTCAAACTTTCAGTTCTATTCTCTGTTCTATTTATTTTGTCTTCTGGCTTGGTTTTATCAGACTCGAAGACTTCTGGTGCAGTGATAAATGTAAATTCCTCTACCCTTTCAGTGGTCCCATCCTTTCTTCCCTTCCTTTTGCTAGTTTCCCCATCAAATTTCTTGTAATTATTCGAAGGAAAATTTGAAGTCTGATATGAGACAAGCTGAACTGAATTTTTCCCAGCTGCACACTCTATTCCATCCGGATTATCCGGGCCCCCTGGAGAGACTAGGAAAGTAGAGGCTTGGTTGGCTTGAAGAATGGTCTCAGAAGTAGGTGTTCTTTTGTAAACGGATTTTGAGGTCCAAGAAAACTTCACCGCTTCTGGACCCTCAATTTGCTTTGTATTAAAGGAAGTTGTCACTCCTTCAACTTTGCTTTTTTCTCCAATGAAATTTCCCACATTAGAGATTACCCTTTCTGTATTAGGAATGACAGCCCCGTCCCCTTTCGTGGCTCCACATCTTGTGCTCGCTTTTGAATCTGCCATAATTCCTATAGAAATTTTCCTTGACTGGCTAGACGGATGAATATTGCTGCCAAAACTCCGACTAATACTCGCTTGCTCCTGAAAATATAGCCCAAATCCATGAACATCTCAATTTATTTTCACACAATAATAGAAACACAGTAGCTAAAATCATAATTGATTGTAGCCAGTAGTAACGGAGAGAAGGGCACTGGAAAATAAGACCGTTTATTTCTTTCCCTGCTTCAGTTATAATAAATGCTCAAAGTTGCATTTTCGTGAGAATAAATGTCAAGCACAAACACGAATTAAACATATGCCAAAAAAGAATTACAGGAGCAATTCAAAGTGACCAATAAACCTAACATCACGAACTACAAATTCTAAGATTATCATAAATGAAATTATTTAAGAGCACACTGTTAGTGACCAATCTAAGTCAGATCAGAAAAGTCGCCAGATGAAGGTTGCTGCTTCTTACATCATGCAAAATTCGTCGTGCTTCAAAATCCATTGTTAGTTGCGATTTCAGCTAAGCACGGGTGCCATTAACAGACCTGAAAAAGTAACAACCAACTCTTTCAGAAAGAAACCATTAGTCTCGGAAGTTCCTTCTCATTCTTGCTTTCTCAACATCCAAACAGAGTGCAAATAATAACAACCTCACAAATTAAGAAAGAACAAAATTACGTACATCATTCGAAGGGGCTAATAACACGAATACAAAAATGAAAATAAAATTCCAAAATTAACCTGAAGTGCACCCGAAATAAACTAAGAATCGGAACTCACGGATTGGTCACCTGAAGAAAAACCCTCGAGAAAGAGGAATTGAAGAATTCAGAAACGACGCAGAAGAATCTGCCCCAGGTTACGATCTAAAATTGATATCAAACGTGATAGGAAGAGTAGCTCTGAATCAAAAAAACAAGTTGGAAGAGCGAGATTGATAAGAGGTTTGCGGAAGGATTAAAAAAAGCACTTACGGCGTTTCCGAAATTGCAATGAGAGAGAGAGATAGATCTTGATTTGCTGCAATGCGAAATTGGAATAACGAATTTGATTTAGTGTTGGGTGAGGGAAAGAGAATTGGTTTGCTGCAATGCTGAACGGAAAAAACAAAAAACAAAAAAATAAAGGCGGGAAAGAGAAGTGTGAGGCCGAACTTCCTCCTAGTTTATATTGTCAACATGATGCGTAATGCGCATGACTTTTCCTTTGCGTGGACTACAATACCCCTGCACTTGAATTATAATTACATTTTAATATACCCATTTTGATCTTTAATAGGAAGCAAGAGCCAACAGATGGAAGAATTCTCAATCCGTAATTAAATAGCACAAAGTTCAAACTCACAACAATTGAAAACAATATTATTTAGATGCCCATTCAGGTACGATTACATTAGTTTATATAAATTCATATTTTGGTTGCTTGAATTAGGGGTTATTAACAATCGGGTCAACCCAATAATTTGATTAACCAGAGGAAAATAAAAAATATATATATTACTTGTGCTTTGGAATTGGAACCCAATTATACAATTTATTAAAGGAAACAGTTTTTTCATTCTATATAAGAAAATTATTTTCTTCACCTGACTCAAAAAATGAGTGGGATTCATAAAAAAGTAAAAAGACAAAAGAAAAGTGAGACTCATCTTAAAATTATGTGTGGAGGAAGAAAAAAAATTCTGATGTAAAATGAAAAAATTAATCCTTATTTATTAAATAAAATGCAATATTTAGTTTAGTTTTACGAGACAGTTTTAATAAGTTTCACAACAATGCACATGACTTGTATTTTCTTGTATTTTGCTAGATATTTAATTTAAAATTGTCATAAAAAGGTATTCTAAAGAAAAAAATTTATACATATTCTAAAGTAAATTTGTTTCTAATAAAGCAAGCAAGATATATCTATTATTAAATGAGTAAGATTATATTTATAAATTTTTTATTTAAATATTCTTACAAATTATACTATGTACTAAGAGTAGTACATAGTATTTGAATATGTACTACCCGTAGTATATAATGTAATTTATAAGAATTTATAAATAAAAAATTTATAAATATAACACTCCTTATTAAATATTCAATATTCAGTGAATTGAAATCGTCATATATTTTAGATCAGCTAAATGGTAGATACAATTTTACTTATTTATGAGACAAACACATTTTAGCACCACATGTTGTGTGAACATGTGAGTTCTGACCCAACCCAAATCTTAAAACATTGGTTAAAAACCCTCCAATCTGTAAGGTAGAAAATGGGGAATAGGTTTGGAAAAATTTAACTCACAACCCCCACGAACTCGAACGCATCTAAGTAATTAAAGAAAAAAATCGCTAAGATTAAAAATGACATTCAAACTCATTATTTAATCGTGACTAAATAAAGAAAGAAAGAAACTCAGTAAATGGAGTATCGTCAATCTACTTAGATGTATGAATCAAAATACTTATGCCTTCAAGGTCTATTACTCCCTGTCCTGTCCAATTTCTCAAAAAAATTCACATTCATCACTTCTTCTCTTTCTCCAACCAACAATATCATTGCTGCAATACAAGGAGAACAGACACTAACAACAATATTGTTGCAGCCACCAATGTGGCAAGACGTTGCACTTTCAAAATGAAGACATTAAAAATCCCATAAGTTTCTCCTAGGCAAACTATTGTATTTGTTTGAGAAAACAAAGTTAGAGTTTATTGAAGGGATTTGCATCTATCATGTCACATGACACAAAAAAATTTCTTACACACACAATATCTTGTGAGACTCGTATTTTTTGAAGCAAAAAAAAAAAAAAAAACTACGGCACACAAAACGAATCTCTATAACATTACACATTTACTTTTTCTACAACATAACTCTTATAAAACCCTTTATTTAATCATCTAACTTTCAAATGCTTGAACACACCACATACATCAACACAACCTCAACTCAAAAATTGAACTAATGTGTATAGGTTGATTTGATATCTACATTTAAACTTTTAAATGGTAGGACATCTATTGTTTGATTTGATATTTTAATGTGATTTTTTGATGTTTAAAGAATCAACAGAGGGCTTTTTGACCCTTTTGCCCCTCATTAATTAATTAATAACCAATTTGCCCCTGATCAAGAACTATCCACCAACCTACCCCCTTTTAGTCGACTACCTTGCTGTTTTAGTCGAGCAAATGGTCAATCTTCAGCAAGTGGACTACCGCAAATTTAGTCGACTAAAAAATCATCTTAATCGACTACATTTTTGGGATATTTAGTCGACTAAGTATCGATATTTAGTCGACTAAATGTCGACTGAAACCCTATATTTTCCATGTTTTCGGTCTCATTTCGATTGTTGTTGTTGTGTAAACCTAAATAGCTCCCTTTGTTCATGTGTAATCCTCTCAATCCGATTGTATTTCATCCCACCATCTCTACAGACCTAATATTGTGAAATCATTGTCATTGCCCAATTCCAAACCCCAAAATCCGAACCCAAACCCCCAATTTCAGAACCCAAGTCCCAATTTCGTGAGGAGGATGAGCACAAGTCCAAACATGTATGTGACAATGATCTACTATGATGGAAAGCATTATGAAGGCCCCAATGGTGTTCAATTTGAAGGAAAAACGAAAATGTTGAAAATCAAACGGGGCACTACATACAATGAGTTAAAGGAGAGAATTCAGCAAAAATTGGGTTTGCAAGGCAGCCAATGCGTTCAACGGATGATTGCCAGGGTAGAGACAACAGTTGGTAAGGATGCTATTTACTACATTGGTAACGATATATGTGATGATGAAGATGTCGAATATGTCATAGATGCAATTGTTGACCGAAAATTCAAAATTTTATTGAGATATATGTTGAATTAGATTGTGGTCAATCTTCATCTGCACCCATGCATACAAGAAGTGACCGTATTTTGGTCATGAAGAAAGAGTATTCAATTTATCTGCACCTGCACATGTCATAAGTCAGATAACACTGCGGGAAATAGATGAGGATGAACAGGATGCCGATATGGACAGCGATGAGGACGGTGAACCTGAGAGTGTTATTCCACTAGGTGACACGTCAGATACTGACGTAGAGGGTGATTTCGACGCTGACACAAGCTCACCATCCCCGGGTTCGCAGGTTACGAGACCACTTTGTGTTGACCCTGTTAGCAGTGGTAAGATTTGTTTTTTAAAGATTTAATTTAGCAATTATTTTTTTTGTTATGAATGGTATTGACGATGGCATTATAATGCATCCGTAGGTTCTGAGGTCGAGCCATTTTGGAATGAAAGCTCACATTATACCTTCATTAATTGGGCCCACCCTAATGATGAGACGGAGATATTGTATGGTGACGATGATGATCACGGTGGCTGGCAATTAGGGGATCCTTTATATTTGTATCAGGAGTTTCGTAGCAAATCTGAAATGCAACATGCAGTCAAATTATATTGTATGAAGGCTCACCGTACTGCCGTTGTGGAAAAAAGTGATGACCATAGATTTGTGATGAAGTGTCGACACCATAATGATGGATGTCCCTGGTATGTGAGGGCATTGTTGCCGAAGAATGGAAATACTTGGGTGGTTAGTAAATGGGTTAAAGAACACACCTGCCTAAACCAAGGTCTTACCCGGGATCATAGACAGTTGGATTCTGATGTGATATGTGCAACCATTATCAGTATGTATTATTCGATATATCTAACTTCCTAAGGTATGTTAACGTTAATCAGTTTGTATTCTGACTGTTGGCCGGTGTTTTTTTTATATAGGTATGTTAAAAGAAGATCCATCATTGAAGCCAGTTCTTATTCAAGAGAGGGTACAACGTTTGTATGGATACAACATATCTTACAGGAAAGCTTGGAAGGCTAAAATGAAAGCCATTGTCAAGTTATTTGGCGACTGGGATAAATCGTATGCATTCTTGCCTGGTTGGCTGACATACATGACGCAGGTTAATGTGGGTTCTGTGTTCAAGATTGATACGGACCAATGTGTTGATGAACGTCGAGTGTATACGGATAAGGCTGTCTTTCACCGAGTATTTTGGACCTTTCACCAGTGCATTGAGGCCTTCAAATATTGTAAACCCATAATCCAAATTGATGGCACGCATTTGTACGGTAAATACAAAGGAACTCTTTTGATTGCAACTTCACAAGATGGAGATGGTTACATTCTCCCTATTGCATTTGCTATTGTTCCTCCTGGTGAGAGATTGGATGATTGGTCGTGGTTTCTTAGCCTCATGCGTTTTCACGTCACGCATAAGCATGGCATTTGTCTAATATCCGATCGTCATCCCAGCATCATCAGGGCTGTAAGAGATCATGCCGGTTGGCAGCCACCATTTGCGTATCATGTGTTTTGTCTACGCCACATCGGAAGCAACTTTAACACTAAGTTCAGAGATGTGGAATTAAAGAAAACCCTGATGAAGCTAGGTACAATCTTCTTTTTAATATGTACAAATTGTATATAATTCATCCTTTTGTATCTAACACATCATTTTGTATTTCAGGGTACTTGAGTTCAAAGATTCATTTTGATATCAGATTCCAGGATTTTATCGACAGTAACCCTCAAGTAGCTTCGTGGATAGATCAGATTCCCAAAGAAAAATGGTGCAGGTCTTACGATGAGGACGGTCGGAGGTTTGGTCACATGACGACTAACTTATCTGAGTGTGTGAATAAGGTCCTGAGGGGTGCACGTAATTTGCCTATAACAGCATTGGTGAAGATGACTCAAAGTAGACTTGTTGAGTATTTCGTCAAGAGACGTGAAAAGATCCAAAAGGCAAAGGCAAAGGGTTGGAGAATTGCAAAAAAAGTTGAGGATATCATCCAAAAAAATGATCAATTAACAGTGAGCCTCCGTGTGCGGGTTTTTGATAGGGACCTGCAGCTATTTGAAGTTGAGGATGCCTACAATCAATCAACTCATGATGCAGGTGACATAATGAGGGTGGACTTGCTCAATCGCAAATGTCAATGTGGACGGTTCACATCTAGAAGATTTCCTTGCAGTCACGTCTTAGCGGTGTGCAAGGTAGAAAAGTTGAACCACTATGATTATGTTGATCCTGTGTTCTCAATTGCACAAATTGATAAGGTATATGCTGCTTATTGGTATCCAATGGGCAATGAGTTGTTGATTCCACAAATTGATGGCCCAACCATTATCTCAAATGCATCTTTGGTACGTGCACAAGGAAGACCCAAATCGTCAAGGATACAGAATGAGATGGATTGGGTTGAGTCTCAACCGACAAGCAGTCAGAGTAGATGTAGCCTGTGTAAGCAAATTGGTCACAACAAACGTACATGTCCTATGAGGATTCCCAATACAAGATGAATTGCGGAGGAAGCAGGAGGGGCTTAATGTTTTGATGGTTTAACATTATAGGCATTTATGGTTTTATATGCTTGTATTTGATGTCATGATGTTTGTATTTGAATGTAATGACGGTGCTATGTTTGTATTTGATCTCATGATGTTTGTATTTGAATGTAATGACAGTGCTATGTTTGTATTTGATGTCATGATGTTTAGGACCCCAAATCCGAATTACACATGTTTTTTGCCCTAGGTTTCCACTCTACACTGATCCACTAAGGGAGTGTGACTTAGGGAGCATAATTTCCGAGTTAAATTCCTAAAACCAAGTCGTATGTTGTCATAACGTTTGTTTACGGTTAACAATACAAGATGTTGCCTTTTTAAACACATGTACTGATTTGCTGTGATGTGTTATGGATGAATGTGACCTGTTCAATATTGTTTTGTGCCGTGATGATCAAATTGCTAAAAAGGTTCCATTCATAAGTTATACAATATTGAAATGGAATTAAATTCATTACACAACATAACATAGATCCAAAAAACATAACAATTCTGCATTCATTAAAAAAAGTTACATTACATCAACGACTTAAAGGAAATACATGAACAAAACATAATAACATGATGTACACCCTAAATCTACTCGTCATCCCCGTCTGTGTCCGTCTCCGAGTCGTCCTCATCTGACACATGACCCCCATCCCCTGCTGCCTCAGCTACCTGACCACCTCTTGCAAGCTCCAGACGAGCAAGCCTGTCTTCCACACCCTTAAACCTTCCCTGTATGTGTCTAAACCTTTCATTCCCTTTCTTTCTCCATTTTTTATGTGCCAGCGCCATCTTTTCTATCTTCTTTGTCATTGCATTTATGCCCTTCATGACATCACGCAGTGAAAATCCACCTTCAGGTTCAGCTATCTCCTCAACCTCAGCCACATCCTCCTCCTCCTCCTCCTCCTCCACATCTGGCTCAACAATATGGTCATCTGGGGCAACTAAGGAACCTCAACCTGGGGCATACCACTAAACTCCCACACACCCGATCTCGTGTTCTTAGTAATCTTGCACTGCTCCAATAGACGCTTTCCGAACTTGCAATTATAGCCCGTGGTCTTCTTCAACAGCTCAGTCTCCATGGGAACACCAAAGTGAACCAATATCCTCTGTACCAGACAGGCGTATGGAAGATGACCCTTATGTTTGGCCTTAAACATAAACCAACAGATATAGTGCCTCCAGTTCACCATCTGGGCATGTCGGATAGCCCACATAATGGGAATGTCATGTTCCAACACCCTGGAATGATTAAAAGATCGCGGAAACAGAACGTGGGTGAGGACATAGTGTAGTATACGGGACTCCACAGAAAGCAACCCCACCGTATAGTGCAAGTGTTCCCCACAGACTCTTCTCTGCTCCTGCACGGCATCCTCTCGTACATATCCTGGAAGTACTACACCACTATCAGCGTCATACACCACAGTCTGAGAAAAGTCAAAATCATAGCCGAGTATCTCCAACCATGCAGGTGCCGTCATGATGATCTCTATTCCACAGACCCTCGACCTCAGCTCGCCCTGTACGTAGCTGAGGTTATGGTAGAAGGCCCGCACCATAAGCTCTGAATACGGACATAGGGTCTCGGCCAACACCCTCAGATGTGCCGCCTCCAACACCCCCACAATTTCAAATCCCTCCTTATCAAAAAAGGCTGTATCCAAAGATTTTGGAGCACATAACGGCCGGTTCAAATGGTCACGTACGAATGAAGCGTGGACGGCAGGGTCGTCCTCAAACAGATACCCATACGGGAGGTCAACAGTATCAGGCTCTTCGTCTTGTCGCCTTGACGAAGAAGGCCGCTCTTGCCTATGCTTGGTGCGTCTCTCAAGTGACTCATTGCCCTCATCGCTTGGTCTTCTGCGGCTCGTCATTTGTTTAGGGTACCTACAATGAAACATGTCAGCATTTAACTATATGAAACATGTCATGATGGTAATGAAAACTTGCAACATAAGCGCTGTAAACCAAAAGCAAACTTTTGCCACATACAAACTTTTCAAACAAAAAAATTCACACAATGCAAAAAAATAAACCTTAGTAGATTAGGGTTACAAAACCTACAACAAACGCTTTGATTAGAGTTCACAAATTCGGACAACAAACAAATACAAAAAATTCCTAAACCTAAAACACAATGCAAGTTAAGAAACCTTACCTATCCTTCAGATTTCACGATTTGGACCAAATTTGGGGGCAATCCACACGCCTAAGGGAAGGGTTTGGGGCGTTCTTCAGCTGCTCCTGCGGATTTGGGGTTTGGGCCGCCTCCTTAGTCGATTAGGTCATCCTACTCCCCCTCTGCCGAATGAGGGGTTTTTAAAAAACAAATCCGTCGATATTTAGTCGACTAAATATCGATACTTAGTCGACTAAATATCCCAAAAATGTAGTCGATTAAGATGATTTTTTAGTCGACTAAATTTGCGGTAGTCCACTTTCTGAAGATTGACCATTTGCTCGACTAAAACAGCAAGGTAGTCGACTAAAAGGGGGCAGGTTGGTGGATAGTTCTTGATCAGGGGCAAATTGGTTATTAATTAATTAATGAGGGGCAAAAGGGTCAAAAAGCCTGCTTTTCTTGATGTGTTCTATGTTTTCAGAAGACTATGAAATTGATATAGAAGCTTTGATCCGATATGCAGTTGGACTGGATTTGGGAGGTGGATTCTCATTAGACTCCACGAGAAGCCGGATCCAAACGGGCATAAACAAACTTTTAGATTCTTGTTTGTTGATGCATGTTGAGAAATGGAAAAACCGCGTGAAGATGCATGACATGGTTCGAGATGTAGCCTTATGGATAGCAAAGACATCAGAGGATGATAAAATTATAGTAAATATTGACAAACCACTCAGCACATTGGCAGAGGATGACTGTGTAAGAGATTATTTTGCGGTATACTCGCGGTACCAAGAGAATCAAATTTCTCTTCAATTGGTTGCTCCGAAACTTAAAATTTTATTGCTAGAAATTGATTGCGATTATTCCATGAATTTATCACATGCAACATTTGAAGGAATGGAAGGGCTCAAGGTTTTTTCTTTTATCAATGGTACCCGTCTCCATGTCTTTGATCGACCACTATTGACATTGCCTCAATCGACCCAGTTGTTGACAAATCTTCAAACACTGCGCTTGAATGGATGGGAGTTAGGAGACATTTCTTTCATAGCAAACTTAAAAAGTCTTAAGGTTCTTGATTTGCAAGATTGTACCTTAAATGAACTTCCTAGCGAAATAGAAAAACTAAAAAGATTGAAGCTGCTAGATTTGTCAAGATGTCGTATAGAAGAAGAAATCTATAATGGAGCAGTAGGGAAATGTTCACAACTAGAAGAGTTATATCTTGCAGAATGCTATTATGATTACATTCGCCAGAGTGTTGTGGATGTTCTTACTCTCCCAAAACTACAGAGGTTTGTAATACATACTCCAAGGTTGGAACTCAGTCACAGTAGTTTTATCTGTGAGGGAAATACGAGAGTTCTAGAGCTAGTGGATTTTAATATCTCAAACTTGGAGGCATCTAAAACGAAACTTCTTCAAACAGCTGAGACTCTTTGTTTTACTAAACTTCATGGACGATGTAAAAATATTATCCCATACATTATCGGAGGCATGAATGTTTTGTATAGTCTCTGTCTCTTTGAATGTAAAGAGGTAGAATGCCTCATTGATACAACGTCTGATTCTGATGATGTGTTGATTCCCAAGTTGGTCGAGTTAAAGCTGGAGTGGTTGTATAACTTGAAAGAATTGTGTCGAGGTCCACCTCTGCATGTGCTACACTTCTTTCAGAAATTAGAGAAACTTAGTATAGAATGGTGCCCACTGTTGCAAAGCATATTTCCGTGGCAATGTAACTTAGGAAATCTTAAGATCCTCAAAATAAAAGAGTGCAACTCAGTTGAAGTACTCTTCTCAATGTCTGTTGCCCAAAGTCTCCAGCACCTAGAAGAACTATCAATAAAAAAATGTTATGAGTTGAAGCATATAATTGCAAGCGAAAGAGAGGATGGCACTAATCCAAGCAAGGAAGTAGTTTCAGCTCTAACGAATTCTCATTTTGTGATGCCCGCTTTGATGAAAGTTCGCATTGGTGATTGTGATAAGTTAGAGTCTATATCCCCAATCTGTTGTGTTGAAGGACTTGAACGACTGGAAAAGATAAAAATCAGTTGGTGTTATAAGTTGAAATATGTATTTGGTGAATGTGATCATGAAGATCATTCGTCTACTTGAAAAAAGGTATTCTAATATATTATAGAATTGTAAATAATCTGTACAAAGGGTTCTCTATTTATAGAGAATATTTGACCTACTTTTAACCTAATGGGCTTGGCCCAATACAACAAAGGGCTTGGCCCAATACAAAAATAAATGACTAAATAAAAACTAAATAATAACTAAATCAATATTATTTACAACACTCCCCCTCAAGCTGAGGAATAGATATTTATCATTCCCAGCTTGCTAGTAAGTTCTTGAAATCTGTCTGAAGGAAGCCCCTTTGTTAATAGATCAGCTAATTGACGCCCAGTGGGAATGTATGGAGTGGTAATCAACCCGCTATCAAGTTTCTCTTTGATGAAATGGCGGTCAACCTCAATATGTTTAGTCCGATCATGTTGAACTGGATTATGAGCTATACAAATAGCAGACTTATTATCACATAGCAGCTTCATAGGTCCCTCACATTTTATTTTGAGATCATCAAGTACAATTTTCAGCCACAGTAACTCACAAATGCCTTGAGCCATAGCTCGAAATTCAGCTTCTGCACTTGATCTGGCAACCACATCTTGTTTCTTACTTCTCCATGTCACCAAGTTACCGCAAAGAAACATGCAATAACCAGTGGTAGAACGACGGTCAGTCACGGATCCAGCATAATCAGCATCTGTGTAGACTTCTAAAGATAGATTGCCATCACGTCGGAATAACAATCCTTTACCAGGAGTACCTTTAAGATACTGAAGAATTCTCTCTACTGCCTGCATGTGTTTTTCTTTTGGATCGTGCATAAACTGACTGACAACACTAACAGCATAAGCTAGGTCTGGTCTAGTATGGGCCAGATATATCAATTTCCCAACTAGCCGTTGATATTGTCCTTTATTAACTGGAGGACTCTCTTCTTCATAGCCCATCTTGTGATTCTGCTCTATAGGAGTATTAGAGGGTTTACACCCGAGCTTTCCTGCTTCTTTGAGAAGATCAAGAACATATTTCCTCTGGCTGATAAAAATTCCTTTGCTTGAATGAGCTACTTCTATCCCTAGGAAATATCTCAGTTTCCCAAGGTCTTTGATTTCAAACTCAGAGGCAAGCCGTGTTTGCAGAATCTGTCTCTCCATAAAATCATCACCTGTGATAATAATATCATCAACATATACAAGGAGCACAGTAAGCTTCCCATTTTGGGAGTGCTTGAAGAAAAGAGTGTGATCTCCTTGGCTCTGTCTGTATCCTAAGGTCATCATAAGGTTAGTAAATCTTCCAAACCAAGCACGAGGTGACTGCTTCAATCCATACAAGGCCTTTTTTAATCTACAAACTTTATTTTCCCCCTTCACAGAATCAAAACCAGGCGGGATTTTCATGTAGACTTCTTCTTCTAACTCACCATTGAGGAAAGCAATTTTCACATCAAATTGATTTATATCCCAATTGTAATGGGTAGCAAGGGATAACAAGATTCTCACTGTATTCATCTTTGCAACTGGAGCAAAGGTTTCTTCATAATCAATGCCATAGGTTTGAGTGTAACCTTTGGCCACTAATCGAGCCTTATATCTCTCAAGAGTGCCATCAGAATTATATTTCAGGGCATAAACCCATCTGCACCCTACTGCTTTCTTTCCGTTGGGTCTATCAATAACCTCCCATGTTTTATTTTTCTCCAAAGCATTCATCTCCTCTTGCATGGCTTGAGCCCAATTCCTATCTTTCAAGGCTTCATGTACTGATTTTGGGATTGCAATAGAATCTAGTGCTGAAACAAAGCTTTTGTGCTGCACAGAAAGATTAGCAGAGGAAACAAAGTGGGAGATAGGGTATTGAGTACAAGAGGGACAAGAGGAACAAGTTTTCTTGTGACAAGATCTTTTTCCTTTTCTAAGAGCAATAGGTAAGTCATCAGAAGTAGAAGCAATGGGTAAGTCATTAGAGATATCAGAAGAAATAGACAAATCATGAGAGGAAATAATATTAGAATCAGAAACAGGAGATTCAGGAGACTCAGAAGAAATAGGAGATTCAGGACTTACCAGTGGTTCAACGATTGAGGTTGCTGGTGAGACAGTATGGGTTGTATCTCAGGTGTATTTGAAGGTTCTGAAACACCAGGAGCAGACACACTAGGAAGAGAGAAGATTGATCCAGACTCAAAGAAGGAAGGGGACGAGTCTTCTGAAGAACTATTCTCCCCCTGACGATGAGGACCCAGGAAATAAGATTCAGATTCTTGAAAGGTGACATCCATAGAAACAAAAAATTTCCGACTTGGTGGATGATAACACTTGTACCCTTTTTTATAAGGGTTATAACCAAGGAAGACACACTTAAGAGCCCTAGGATCCAACTTACTCCGATGTTGTTTATGATCATGGACAAAAGCAACACATCCAAACACTCTTGGTGGAAGGCTCTGCAATATGGGAACAGAAGGAGATAAGGAAGTCATGGAATGAATAGGACTGATATTGTTAAGGACCCGTGAAGGTAAACGGTTGATCAAAAAAGTTGCAGCTAATACTGCTTCTCCCCAATAAGAACTAGGAACAGATGTCTGAAAAAGTAGTGCTCTAGCAACTTCAAGAAGGTGACGATTTTTCCTTTCAGCAACCCCGTTTTGTTGAGGGGTATCAACACATGTGAGCTCATGAATCACACCTCTGTCTGAAATGAATTGTGACAGGCGTTGATTGACGTACTCAGTACCATTATCAGATCTGAGTCTTTTAATACCCTTACCAAACTGAGTCTCAACCATGTGATGAAACCGAATAAATATCTCTGGTACTTCAGACTTGTCTTTCATCAAGTATATCCATGTTATCCGAGTACAATCGTCAATAAAAGAAACAAACCACCTAGCACCTGAAACACTGTGCACTTTAGAAGGGCCCCAAACATCAGAATGGATAAGAGAAAAAGGTTCCCTGCTTTTAATAGTGCTAGAAGGAAATGACACTCGATGGTGTTTTGCAAATTCACAAACATCACAATGAAAGGTCTCGACCGACTTATTGAGAAACAGAGAGGGGAACATAGACTTCAAAAGACTAAATGGTGGATGCCCAAGACGCTTGTGATGGAGCCAAATCATAGACTCTGCAGTAGAAGGATGACGTGTCATTAATAACTGATTTTTGCTAGCGTGGTCTGGAAGGAGATGATACAACCCATCCTGTTCATTAGCAACTCCAATTGTCTTCTTCGTGGTAAGATCCTGAATAAGACAATGAGAAGGAAAAAATGTGATAGAACAATTCAAATCAGTTGTAAGTTTTTGAGTGGAGATAAGATTAGTAGAAAGCTGAGGAACATAAAGAACATTTTTAAGAAACAAGGAAGGTTGAATCTGAATGTTACCAGAACCAATAACTGATTTATGGGATCCATCAGCTACGGATATAGTATGACTACCAACAGTAGGATGATAAGAACAAAACAACTCAGTACGACAAGCCACATGATCAGTTGCACCAGAATCCAAAATCCATGAGGTTTTAAAATCAGTGCAAGAAGCAAGAAGAGAGATATAGAACGTGTGCTCTTACCAGATAAGATCGAAGAACTATCATGCTCGGCCATTCTTTAACAAAAAAAGTTAACAACCAGCGATAAAATCAACCAAACAGAATATCAAATGACCTCTGATCAGAAAAATAGTTACAGATCCAGACAGAAGACAAGAAGACGAGAAGAATGGTGGTGGTCCGGTCCAAAAACACGGCCGCACGCGCCGGAGAAAGGAGCTGCGCGTGGGATTCACTCGCCGGGAAAGGGGCGGCGCGTGAGAGCGCGTGGATGGGCTTCGCCGGCTGAGATTTTTCTGGTGTGGTCGTCCGGTGAGCGCGCACCTGTCTGTGGGTGGTCGCGGTTGAAAAGTCGCCGGAAAGTGGTCCAAACGGTGAAGACAGATCTGATTGGAGGCGGTCGGAGGTGTTTCGGTCGTTTGTGGCGGAGGAACACTGCGTAGAATGATAGATCGGAGGAAAAATAAGGTCAACAATGGTCCCCTTGGTCCAAAAGGTCCCGAAATTTTTTTCCGGTGGCGGCAAGAGGCAAAGAAATTAGGGTTTTGTTAAAAAAGAAGATAATATGTGCGGAAGCAAAGCCCTCAGATCGAGAGCTCTGATACCAACTTGAAAAAGGGTATTCTAATATATTATAGAATTGTAAATAATCTGTACAAAGGGTTCTCTATTTATAGAGAATATTTGACCTACTTTTAACCTATTGGGTTTGGCCCAATACAACAAAGGGCTTGACCCAATACAACAATAAATGACTAAATAAAAACTAAATAATAACTAAATCAATATTATTTACAGCACATCTCACCAGTATGATAACCATAACATGCTTCCTCGTTTGGATATTCTCTATCTGGACGGTCTTGAAAATCTTGTTGGGATATGTCCCAAAAACTATCTTGCAAAGTGGCCAACTCAGAGGGATTTAACTCTGGGGCATTGTCCAAAATTGACTGCATCGTGGATTGCTGTGATGGACGGCACTGAGCAGAGACAGCAGCATCTGAACGAAGTACGTATAGTTTTTGAAATGCAAAAGTTCATTTGATTTAATTTCACACATTCATTAGAATATAAATTTAACCACGTTTCCAATCTGCATCCTATGTTTAGTAATCTTGTGTTATTTATACTTTTTACTTATTTACATATGTAATACTACCTATCAAATTATTTGGTTAGTTACCTTTATATATTCCATTTTCAGAAAGTTGTCCTTTCTGAGGACCAGCGAAAGCACTTGCCCTCAAAACTGCAGCTGTTGTCGTTAAAAGATTTATCGCAATTGACCCTCATATCATGGGTGGGCTCTACTCCCAGACGAACTTTGAGCCTGCAATGTCTTCAGAGTTTAAAAGTGACTAGATGTGATAACATGAAATCTCTATTCTCCATGGCAGCACATAGAAGCCTACCAGAGTTGATGCTCCTTGATATATACGAGTGTGAAGAATTGGAACAAATCATTGCAGAAAATGAAGAAGAACTTGAGCACCTATCCAATGCTGAAGTGTTTTTTCCAAAGCTAACAGTTATAGAGATCAAAAAATGCGACAAGTTGAAAAGCCTTTTCTCTGTTGCTATGGTTAGAATGCTTCCACAATTAAGAATTCTTGATATAGAGAATGCTACTCAACTAGAAGAGGTTTTTAGACATGGCAGTGAAGACGGCACTATTAGTGAAATGGAAGTTGTGCTTCCAAACTTAACATATGTAAACCTGTCCTGGCTACCAAGTTTTGTTAATATCTACCAGGGTTTTAAGTTACAAGCCACGAAACATCAAATTCTCATAGTTGACTGCCCCAAAACTGCTCCAAGTTTAAGAGCAATTCAGGTGACTCCTCTTCCCTGCAAACCAGGCCTACTGACATAAAATGTCCTGATTATTTTGGCTTTTCCTAATTTTTTGAAAACTTAATAATCATTTAGAATGTTTGGATAATGAGATAGACAAAACGACCAACTGAAACTTATTTTGAATATGTCTCATATCTTCTCTATGACTTTATTTGCACTTGATTTTTCTTGGTCATTGAATGAAACCACAAAAGATGAATATTACTATTATAATTCTAGAAAGGCCACAAATTGCGTGAGCTATCAATTTTGTCGATGTACAGCATGAAGCTAAGAGTGGTCAAGTATATGCCCTGAATGTGAAGACTCTTGGAGTAATTTTTATTTGAAGACTGTTCAATGTGCTCATGTCTGGAGTGATAGTGTTCAATATTGAAGATAGACTCCTCTTCCAAAGAATTTTTTTTTGGAGACAGTGTCGCACTCATAATTGTGTATGGGACTCAAATAGTCAACATATTTAGTTTTTATATGCACATTTCAATATAGCATTCAAAATGATTATTTGAGTGTGTAAAGTGAGAAAATAGTTCCTCCTAACTATAGTTTTTTAATTTGTAAAGGTGGAACTATATGAACTAGAAGAAGAAGAAGATGATGATGAACTAGAAGAAGAAGATGATGAAGATTCCTCTTCTGATTGAAGACCCCATCCCTATACTCTCAATTGTAAGAGATAACATATTAACCATTACATGCATGTGTCCTAAGATGTGATAATGATCACTATGATATTCAATTTCTCGTAACTTTCTGAAGAGAAAATTGAGAAAATATTTATATTAGGTCAGCATGAGAATTATAAAATGTAATTTTTTGAATATAAAAAGAGGAAATTTGAGAAAGGGACAGGTAAAGAGGAAGCCGAAATATAATTGAAGAAGGAAAGATGAAATAACATAGATCAGTAATTTCGTATTTCTTCCATAAATATGGAAAATTGATTTGGTTGGGATTACTCTGATTATATGTGCTCAAATGTGTCTGCTTTTTGTCCTACTTTAGATTACAATTGAGTCATCTTCCATATTGCAAATGGAAAGACCTTATAAACAAATCTCCTTGAGACAGCTGTTGTGGAATCACATAAAAGTATCATATGTAGTAACACTTTATCAAAATGATTTAGTTTGCATCTGAAAACTTTTAACTGTTAGTAAATGACACCAAATGTAGATTAATTCATCTACATTGTGTCAAAGAAAAAGGCTGGATACTTAATCTGTCACTGTGGTGAGAATTTTAGATAACACTTTTTTATGAGATATTTTCAGGAGAAGGAAGATGTCTAGGTAAACAATGTTAGATAATACCTGTTATCAGGGTCTAAATTTACTTTGAAGCAAGGACAAGACAATGTAATAAGTAATTTAAATAGAAAATTAGTAACTTGGTTAACAATTACTGAATAAGTACACATCGCCTGAATTTTCTCTGTATTAGAATATCTCCACTTTTTCATAAAGCCGTTTGGATGGAGGAATCGCACAAGTTGACATATACAGTAATATACAAAAAAAGAAATTTATGACTCTCACGTATCTGTAATAACATGGTATAAGAGTTTCTCTAAATTTGTTTGTGTATAGTTCAGTTAAAATAATATAACTTTGTTAAGTATATTCTCTATTCATTGCTACATTAGAGGACAGATATGTTTGGCAGGGTCTGCATAGCCATTGCCCATCTTGATACTTGTTCTACCTTTGGTTTGACTCTATATAGAATTTATTTGACATTCCCCTTTTTCTACTATTTCAAATAATTTTGCTTCAGACATTCGGAGTTTCAAATTTCCCCAACTGATCTACTTTTAGTTTCAGCAACTCTACTAAGTGCTAATATCATGTCTTCCCCTTTGTTTTATTGACTGTTCTTAGGCATTGTAAATTGGAAATTTAGTTTTTAAAGGGAAAATGCTTTTATGTTACAACAGTAGTAAGAAACATCATATTTACATCATAATCTTTTGCAGTACTTCAACTGTGGATCATATGATAAAATGGAAGCTCTTCTAAGGCAAAACATTCGCCACGTTGACATCCTACTGTCGTTAGCTGCATCAGAAGGTGGCAAGCCAAAAATTGAGGAACTCTTTAGAGTTGGAATAAAATATGATGCAAAAGATGCAGATGGACGGACAACACTGGATAGGGCAAATGATGACATTAAAGATTTCATTCTTAATTTTCCAGTGCAGAGGACATGATTTTTTTATTTTATTTTATACTTCTGGTGAAAGAGAACAAGATTAGTTTGTTTCCATTATAAGCCAGTTCTATTACATGTAACATCCCTGTCTCGAGCCGGTTCAATTAACATGCATATGATACAAACAGAAACAGCGGAAGACTTAACTTACGAAAATACGGGTTAACTTTTTCATTTTCTCATTAGGCATAAACGAAAATCGGACAGAGTAACCTCTGTAAATCGGACAACTGAGGATTTTTCAATGCCACTCTCAAGAGTTTCTGATAGACAGTTTGAACAATATATATATCTAGAAGTACCAGTCATGCAAATATACTCAGATACCTATCTATGGGTGCATTTGCAGAACCTGGCTCCGTGCCACTAATCTAATAGCATGCAATCCAATACATAACATAACTGAATACTACCTAGTCATATCAACATGCCTGAATACATAAATGTACATGCATCAAACTGAAAGACATGTATAAGACATATACAGGCCATATACAAGGTGAGAGATCAAACATCATGATCCCCAAAATAACTGAAAATACGAAATACACTAATACACTCCAAAAAGGGTAGTAGCCTACAGCCACTCAAAATCTGATCCGTCAACTGCCTCAGCCACGTGTCGTGTCCCTGCCTAATGAGGGCTCACCGGGAGTCTGGGAACCTGAAATAATGTCCCCAAAAAGGGGTGAGATAACAATCTCAATAAGCTCCAGGTTTATAGAGAATTCTCCATACCCCTGGCTCACTCCTGCATGAAAGTCAGATACAGAGTATACAAATGCATTTATAACAGATATCATAGCAGGACAAAGCAGATTTCATATCATATCATATCATAGGCGTGCGCTGTCATTCCCAAGGGAGGACCCCAAGCGGAAATCAATGCACGTGTTCCCAATAGAACAAAGCATATATCCATATCATATCATGAGGCGTGCGCTGTCATTCCCAAGGGAGGACCCCAAGCGAAAATCGATGCACGTGTTCCCAAGGGGTGTTCCCAAGGGAGGACCCCAAGCGGAACCAGAACATGTCAGAGGTGTACATCGTCAATCTCAGGGAAACCCCAAGAAGACATCATTGTACTATACATCATTACAGAAATCATATCAGAACAAGTCATATCATATTATCAAATAGCTCTATATGAATGCATCTATACAAGGCATCATAACAACAATCATACAGTCCAACCATAGTTCAATAACCATGGTGGAGCACTCAAGCAGGAAAAGACTCCTTAAACATAGAGCTTACCTCTTGAAGCTTTACCAATACGCTTACTTGTGGCACAAGTTACTTATTTTGCTTCAAAAGATTCCGATCCTTTTTAGTCCCTAGGCACACCTAGAGAAGAATCCACAACAAAATCAATAAAATGATTCCATGCCATGATTCATTACATAAGGCATACATTTTATCGTTTACTTTCGTTTCTTTAAGTTTTTGCCAATCCTATGCCATTACACAAGTCTAGGCCAATTTATAATCGTTAGTGTTCTTTAATTTAATCAAGTATCCACTTGAGAATTTTCTATATAATCATGCCATTTTACTTCAAAAGGTCGCGGACATACCCTTAGGGAATCACTATATTTTTCACAATTTCTCAAGTCATTTCACTTCTTAACTCATCAATTTAGTACATTGAAATCCAACATATTTTATTAAAATAAAATGTAACAAAATCTATCCCTAAGCCACCCTATAGGTCGAACTCTACAAGAAAAATAGGCAAAGTGTTCTTTTCTTTTTAACTATTCTTTCTTCACTTAATTAGCAACTTAAACATACATATATGTACCCACAAGGTTCCAATAAAATTTTGGAACATCAAGTCCCCCACAACACCCCATGGCCGAAATGTGGGGACCAAAACACAAAGGATTCTTCCACTTTGGCCTTCTCACTCAATTCACCAAATTCATACTTACTCCAACACATTAGACCCTCTCAATACATCAAATAAAATTTTGCACAATGAATCCTCCATAACCCTACATGGCCGAAACCTAAAGGGAGAAGGCATAGGATTTTTTTTCAGATTTTGTTACATACATACTCATGCTTATTTTTCCATTCCTATATTCAAAACATTACAAATCCATCATCAATATAATTTTAAACTAATTGATTTCCCACCCAACACATGCTTACAATTTTCATGACTCAAATCATCAAAATGGAACTATAGAAATAGAGGTTCCTTACCTCTATACACTTGTACAAGGCCTAAAGACCCATCTCCAAGCAAAACTCTTTCAAAAATGCACTTTCTCTTCCTTGATGAATAGTGTCACGAAAATGGGGGGAGGAAGAACTCTTCACACATCCAACTATAGCTCAAATTGATTGGTGGAATGGATTCATTGGTTGATTTCCAATCAATTTCATGTTATAGACTTTTGGATTTGGTGGCATATTCAAGAAGAAATCAAAGAAGGAAAATCAAGCCCTAACCCCCCCTTCCATGATGAACTCCTCGGGTTTGAAGAGAGAGAAGAAAGAGTTTTTGAGTGAATAGTGTTCACTTAAGTGATTTGGACTTATATGTAAAGGTGGCCATTTTCACCGGTTGTTTTTCTATCGCGTATTTTCACTTAAACTGACCCTTAACTAACTTAAAGCTACGGACATATTTTTTATTTTTCTGAACTTATTTACATTAATTTTTATTTCCTAAGGAATTATATTCATAATTCACAATATGGTTTCTGCATTGTTTTTGACGAAATGCACTGTGAATCACTAATTGTACTTCGTTTACATACGAAACTTGAAACTTATGAACTTATCATTATT